GTAATCTCCCGACAATTCACGAAGGTTCGAGAAAAAAGTAGCGTGATACTAGTCACGTGACCTCGCTGACGCAACAATACGAATCAAACAATCAGATAATACCCTTCTTTTTTTTTGTTCTGATTCTCAGAGATTCTGCCTTAATTTCTAACTAGAGCGCAATATAAGCTATCACCGGCCATAGTTATAATGTTTAAAATAATTTTGATTATTACTAATCTTGGCATTTAATATGATTATTTTGCATTGCTAGATCACTATTTGAATTTAGGGCTAACTTAAATGCCCCAAGCTGGTCGAACTTCGCGAGATATGGAAATAATACCAGAAAAAAAATATTAATTAATATCGATTTATTGCATTAAGTGCTTCTAGTCAGTATGTTGTATAGAATATACTTGGTTAATCTACAAATTGCTTTGGTTCTTATTTAAATAGATAAATTAATTTTCGTCAGAAGTTTTTAATAACAACTGCATGTTTACATAAACACATTTTACTTAAAAAAAACAAAAAACATGATGAACATTGAGCATTAATAAGTTGGTTCATATAAAACAGACTTATAGAATTATTTAATACATTTAACAATCATGTAAAAGTATAATCGGCCTTTCTTTGTTATAATTATGCGAAACTTCAGCCTTAATTTAAACCTAGGACTTCAATTAACCTATCACCCGCTTTGGCTTTTGGTTATAACTGACCAGCTTTGCACATTTAAGTTAGCCCTAAATACATATAGCAAACGAGCAACGAAAAAAATCTTAAACGTCAAAATTAACAAGTTTGTTTGTTTGTGTTTCCGTAATATACAGCATTAAGTCAAAATAATTCAATATGTATTTTATATATTTATAGTATCAGCTAGATAAATAACATTTCTAAAACAGTAATAACTACATTGGCCAAATGTAGTAGACATGTTACATGAAGCTTTACATATGAAAATTATCTTTCGATGCTTAGTGATATCGCTAAGCAGGCCCAGCCTCGTCATGCGTTCTTGGGTTAAAGACCGAAAACACCGCTGACAGAGAAGGTACCCCAACTGATCACGTAAGAGAGAGAAGTCACAGAAGCGTGTTGTGGTTTACCTGTTTCTCGAAGTTATGACCTTTAGAATTTGTAACCACCAAGAGAAAAAAATAGATTGTTGGTGTGACCTTTCAGACAAGAAGTGTTTGTAAAAATTAATTTATTCTGAAAAATCCATACGCTTAAATGAAATGCGTAGAAGCATATAACTGGGAGGCTTTTACCGAAAAAAATCCAAGAGTAGATGACCGTTTCCATCCAAAACAGATACCCACAATCCCCAAGTTACTAAACAAACTGTGTGTATTTAATAGAAAGCCCACCAACAATATCAAGTGAATGAAGTTCATGTGCCTTCGTCAACATGGATTCAAAATAAGAAAAATATCCACAAGATCGTCCTAATAATACACTTGAAAATGTCGCGATAAAGAATTTACAAATAGTTTACTAAATGACAAATTATCGTCACCTTCGATCAGATGTGAAGTAATTTGAATGATTGTCGTTATACTTGGAACGAGCTACGGCTACATGAAATTTTAATGTGGAGTTTTACGAAAACAAGTTCAAATGGCAAGGAACAGTTCGAAGTATTGTTTCACATGTTAAGGTCATCTCCCAGCGTTTGAATAAATGTTTTTAAACCAACTTTTCCTAGAAGACATTCCCTTCACGTAACCACTAAGCTGGTTTATGTATTCACCTTCAAATTACTGACTTGTTTTTAATACCTGTAATTGTTTTGCCTATTGCAAGACACTACAAGTGCGATGATCTGACCACACCAAAAATCAGTGGGATTAGTTGCAATATTGATAGTATAGTTATTTACACTTTTAGAGCGACTCGTACGTAACTAGGGGCTCTGTAACCAAAAATCAGTGGGATTAGTAGCAATATTGATGGTGTAGTTATTTACACTTTTAGAGCGACTTGTACGTAACTAGGGCTCTGTAACTAAAAATCAGTGGGGTTATTTGCAATATTGATGGTGTAGTTATTTACACTTTTAGAGCGACTTGTACGTAACTAGGGGCTCTGTAACTAAAAATCAGTGGGGTTATTTGCAATATTGATGGTATAGTTATTTACACTTTTAGAGCGACTTGTACGTAACTAGGGGCTCTGTAACTAAAAATCAGTGGGATTAGTTGCAATATTGATGGTATAGTTATTTACACTTTTAGAGCGACTTGCATGTAACTAGAGATTCTGTAACCAAAAATTCACGTATACACAAGCAACTTGGTGCATAAGTTCATAAAAAAGTGCTTAAAAAGCCAACTACTCCATCAGTAATTCTCGGGTTAAAATCCACGCGAACTGTTTAAATGGGGTGGAATACATTTTAAATTAAAATTAATTTACATATGTAACTCTAATCTAGCCTATCAAATCATAAATTAAATTTCAGTCGGACTAATACTCAGACTTTTAAAAATACTTTTCGAAAATAGTTGTGGAACCAACAAACAAAAAAGCTTTTGGAGTTGTGAAAGTTCCTAAAGAACATAATTAAATCGAACAGGCCTTACTATCATCCAGAGTCAGAACAATCAAATACAGCACCTAAGATAAACAAGAAAAGCCCCTTTTTAATAAAGAGTTAAATGCTACAGCTAATATGAAATCTATAAACACCAGATATAATTCTGTGGTCAAATGAACCTCACACGATCATGGTACCGCATTTCATGTCTGAACACACGCGCACAAAACAACATCGTATCGATATACGTATCATTCTTTCAAACTCTCGAGCTCTGAAGTATTAAAATAAAGAGAGTTCATACCTGATCACTTCCAAGAATATTTTATCTTTTAAGAGAATGCTCGAATTAACAAAAGGTTTAGAAATGTTAAGATGGCAAAATAAAAAATGGGAGGGAGAAAAAGACAATGGAGCAGAAATTAATAAAAAAAATCCCGCTTCTGAACTGGAAAGCGACAGCGTTTCTACGTACAAAAATGTTGTACACGTTTTCATAACGGCCCATACGTGATAGGATTTCCATACATCACAAATGTTACGAGTTTTTGTGAAACAGTACACAAACGGTTGCAGTAGCACTTTCTACGATGAAAAATATATTTGAACTCGCCTATTACGTCGTTATCATTTAATGCGTGTTAACGGGACGATTTCTGGACAGAAACTGCCATCTGGATACACATTTCTTCTATACATGTCTCATAACCCTACACTTTTGGAACATCAATGGGGATGAGGGGGTTGTCACCCTCTAGCTC